GGGGGGGGACTGGGAAACACTGGAAGATACTGGGAACGGAAACTGGGGGGGCTGGGGGGGAACTGGGAAAGTTTTGTGGGAGAAATGGGGTATGAAGTGTGATGGGGACCCCGATGTGGGGGGGCTGTGGGGACACGGCTGTAGGGCCCTATAGGGACCTTCTATAGGGGTTATAGGGTCACAGAGCCTATAGGGACACGGCTGTAGGGCCCTATAGGGACTCCTCTATAGGGGTTATAGGGACAAGGGGGCTATAGGAACAGAGGAGCTATGGGGACATGGCTATAGGTCCCTATGGGGACTCCTCTATAAGGGCTGTAGGGACATGGGGGCTATAGGGACACAGGGGCTATAGGGACACGGCTATAGGGCCCTATAGGGATCCCTCTGTAGGGGCTATAGGGACATGGGGGCTATAGGGACACAGGGCCTATAGGGACATGGCCATAAGGTGCTGTAGGAACCCCGCTATGTGGGTCTATAGGGACCCCAAACTGTAGGGTCCCCAAACTCCCTATAGGGACTGCCAGGCCATAGGGTGCTATAGGGACCCCACTGTGTGGGTTATAGGGATTCTGCTTTGAGGGAGGTATAGGAACGCCACCACAGGCTGCTATAGGGGCCCAACAGTAGGGCCCTATAGGAGCCCGGCCATAGGACCCTACAGGGACGTGGCTATAGGGTCCTGTGGGGCCTGGCTGTAGGATTTCACGTAGCAGTGACTGCAGCAGGCTGTAGGATCCAGCCATACGGCCCTATAGGGACCCCGCTCTGGGGGGCTATTGGGATGCAGCTATAGGGCCTGGCTATAGGGTGCTATAGGGACCTCTAGAGCCCTATGGGGACATGGCTATGGGGTGCTATAGGGACCTGGCTGTACAGCACTATAAGGACTTCGCTATGGGGCACAGTTATAGGGCGCTATAGGAGCCCAACAATAGTGCCCTATAGCACCCTATAGCAGGGCCCCTATGGCCCCATATAGCGGGTTCCCTATAGGCCCTATAGCAGGTACCTAGAACTCCATATAGTGAGTCCCTATGGCCCATATGGCGGGGTCTTTTTAGGGCCCTATAGCAGGTTCCCTATAGCCCCACATAGAGGAGTCCTTATAGCCCCATATAGGCGGCTCCCTATAGCCCTACATAGAAAACCCCTACAGCCATAGAGCGTGTCCCTATGGCCCAAATAGTACCCGCCCTATAGGGCCCTATAGTGGGTCCCTGTAGCCAGACCCATATAGCGGGTCCCTACAGCCCCATACAGCAGGGCTCCCTATAGGGCCATATAGTGAAACCCTATAGTGGGCTCCCTGTAGGGCCGTATATGGGGTTCCTCCCATGGCTCCCTATAGGGCCATTTGGTGGGGTTACTCCTATGGCTCCCTATAGGGCGGTATAGCAGGGTTCCTCCTACAGCACCCCATAGGGCCATGTAGTGGAACCCTATAGTGGGCTCCTTATAGAGCCGTATATGGGGTTCCTCCTATGACTCCCTATAGAGCCATATAGCAGGGTTCCTCCTACAGTTCCCTATAGGACCGTATATGGGGTTCCTCCCATAGCTCCCTATAGGGCCATATAGTGGGACCCTATAGTAGGTTCCCTGTACGGCCATATAGGGGGATTCCTCCTATGGCTCCCTATAGGACCATATAGGGGGGTTCCTCCCACGGCTCCCTATACGCCCTATGGCTGCGTTCCTATAGCCCCCCATAGTGCCCCATATGGCCCCGCTAAGGGGGGCTTTAAGGAACCAAGCAGAGAACCCTATAGGACCGGCCCCCAGACCCCCATAGTGACCCCAATAGGCCCCGCCCCCCGCTCCCCCTCCCCCCGAGGAAAGGGGGCGGGGCCAAGTCCGCGCATGCGCGTTACAAAACGGCGCCACCCCCTCCGTTCAGCTCCGCCCCCTTTTTTCTGCCGTCGCGAATTTTCCCGCGCGCGGGAAGGCACGTGTGGGGGGGGCGTGACGTCACCGTGAGGCGAGGCGGGGGGGGG